TCTACTAAGCCATATGCCAGAGGGCTCAAACTAGGAAAGCCCAGTGAGCTATGTGCAATGCTAGCAGCAATGACTCACCCCACAGTGCTCAATTTGGACATGAAAGCAGAGCTTTGTATGCCAAAGTGTTATATCTAACTGCAGACAGTACTGTTTTGGCCTTCTGGGCCTCATCAGTGTAGTGCTGATGCGAGGATGGGGGAGAACCGATTTGGTTACCCCAAAGGATCCCACATTTGTGGTATCGACTAAGCCATATGCCAGAGGGCTCAAACTAGGAAAGCCCAGTGAGCTATGTGCAATGCTAGCAGCAATGACTCACCCCACAGTGCTCAATTTGGACATGAAAGCAGAGCTTTGTATGCCAAAGTGTTATATCTAACTGCAGACAGTACTGTTTTGGCCTTCTGGGCCTCATCAGTGCAGTGCTAATGGTAGGAAGGGGGAGGACCAATATGGTTACCCCGAACGATCCCACATTTGTGGTATCGTCTAAGCCATGCTTGAGTGCTCAAACTAGGAAAGCCTAGTGAGCTATGTGCAATGGTAGCGGCAATGATTCACCCCACAGTGCTTAATTTGGACATGAAATATATATATATATTTCTATGTCATTATTACAGTAGGTACTCTTAACATTTGGATTTGCTCAATTTTGGGAAGACAGATGTTTGGTATTAAATCCTGACATAATTATGATTGCCTTAATTGTTATTGGCAGTTCCCTGCGTAAAGATTCTATTGCTGAGCCATTTTATGGATTGATTGGTGAAATATTTGAGCTGAAAGGAGGTAAATGTGATGATTTTCCACATGTAGGATACTTTCTGTTATCAACACTGCTAATCTTGTTTTTAAAATGTTATTTCTCCGAGAAAGAACCATCCTGGTGAAAAAGTAAAATATGACAACAGTAATTGTAATGAATATGATGATAATGAATTCATAATGAATTTCTACTATCAATAGAATTTAAAAAACATTTAACAATAAAAAATTGCAATAAAACCTTTCATAAAAGCATATTAAAAATTTGTTGACGACGTTTCGACATTTGGTTAACATCATTATTAAGTCAAAGAGTGAGAGATAAAAAATGGTAATGGAATGTCTTTTAAACAAAGAGTTTTGTGTAAATTGTGTCAATTGTGTCACCTTCATTACCTGTATCATTAACGTATTGTTGAAAATAAGAACTCTGCGATCGGTTAACACTTTTGGACAGCCCACTGAGATACAAGCCTCCCAAAAGTAAGCCAATTCCGCATTCTAAAAAAGTGCCAAGGAAAATTGGACTGTCTTGTCAACAAGATGCTTTTCATCAAGCAGCACAATTCTAGTCTCAACACGCAGACTAATTCCATTTATTGCGTTTCAATTATAGCTTTTTATATAAAAAATTCTTTTTGTACACAGTTTTTAAGTGGCTGAGAAGAACTTTAATAGCTTTTGTACAAGTCACATTTGGAGGCACAATTAACAAGTAAGGGTTTTTGGATGATTTTGTTATAAATACACTGTCTTTTTTCATTTTTCATTGGTTTAGCATATAATGTGGACAGATATTGTGTGAGTTGAAAAGGAATGAAAAATATGAGCGACAAGAAAAATGTCCAGACCTGTGTATTGTTTGTGAAACCATCAAATAAAGGATTTTTTTTCATCTTTATTTCATGTTTTAGTTTTTAGCATTATATGAGCATTATTTTAATTACATAAGGGATGCAGGAAAAGATGAAAACAACACAAACAAAACTGTGAAAGTGTCCTTTATCACAACCACAAAAAATCTGTTTCATTAGAGTTTGTCTCTGAAAGGACATCAACAAACTAAGGTTTGGATTATTGTGTGTGTGGCCTTTTTGTTGCTAATTTTTCTTTCAGTAATTTTGCCCTGTTTTATGGTGTAATACCACTGATTTTGTAGATTCTTTTGCCCTGATATGGTAAAATATAATGCATAGTAGTGGAATGAAAATATGTGGGTAATTATCATATAGTGGGTCGAAATACCAGTTTGAATAAAGATCAAAACAAGGACAGATGGTAATCATAAAATTTCCAATCATGGGATTTAAAGATTAAAATTAAGGAAATAATGTACACTGGTATTTTGATTTCTTTGTATGGTGTTCCTATAATATGTGTCTCATGAAGGGTTGAGTAATTATATTTAGTCAAGTTAGTTATTCCAAAAACATTGCTTATAGAAAAAATGTGGAGACATCTGTGGACAGTAGAATTAAGGTACTTCAATTTGTACCTAACCATGGAAGCATGAAGCAGAGGCTGAGACATGGTTGAGTTGAAGGATAATAAATTTCTCTTCATTTCTGCTGATCACCATGTAATGAGATGACTTTGTTCCTTGCCCAGGGAAATCCACCGTATGGTTGAGTGGCTTGTGTCTGAATCAATGGTAATGTACTACATTCACTTGTTCCGTGACTCCACATGGCCTGGTGGGGAACTGGCGAAACCTTCAGTACCACGTACTGATGCAGTAAGGAAGTTGGACTTTTTACAATGAATATTTGCTCCAAGCTGCAAATCATTTTGGTTGAGGAGAGTATACAAAATAAGAAAAAGGGTTTCAAGACTGCACTCTTTGCAAAATACACTGATTTAGTCCTTGAAGTACCATAAAAACCCGATGTTAATAGTGAGTTTACGTTCGATGAACAGTGGATGAAGAAGACTTCTCAAGACTCGACCAGATTTCTTTTGATTTCCATCAAAAAAACTTTGTTTCCAAAATTTGAGCAGCTAAATTCAGGGTGCACCTTATCTCCAGGTTTTTACAGTATTTTGTAGGGAGGTGTGATCAAGGTAAATTGTTTTTAATTGTTAACTGAAAATGTGTCATTTATTGTATGCCAATAAAAATCTCAAGACCCTTGAAGAAACGGTCAATAGCGAATTGGTCAAAGTTTCTGATTGGCCCAATGCAAATAAACTAACTTTAAATGCTAAAAAATCTAACTTTGTCATTTTTCGTCCTTATCAACGTAAACTGGACCTTACAGTCAATATTCGAATGTTTGATAATAGTAATCATTCTTTTACCTCTCTTGAATGTAAGGATCATATAAAATATTTAGGTGTCTTATTGGATAGTCATTTGAGTTGGAAATTTCACATTGACAATGTGGCACTAAAAATAAGTAGAATAATTGAAATTATTGCCCTCCTTCGGCATGTCGTACCTTTAACCACTCTATTAACTATTTATCACTCTTTGATCCTCCCTTACCTATCCTATGGCATGGCTGTTTGGGGCCAAGCTGCTAAATCCAGTTTACATATAATCCTTGTCCTACAAAAATGTGTTCTTCGACTAATATATTTTTCTGAACCCAGAGCACATGCGGTACCTTTATTTATCTCCTCAAAAACCCTCCCCATAAATATGTTATATGTTGAATCAGTTTCCTCAATTATGTTTGACATCTCATGTCTAACTGTACCTACTAACATTAGTAATCTTTTCATTAAAGCTACTGAAAAGCATAATCACGATACGAGGTTCTCTTCTTTTAGCAATTTTTATATTAATCCATCGAGACTGAATCAAAGCCAGGGCTCTTTTGCTAGCTTCGGAGCTAAACTTTGGAACTCCATTTGCGATGCTCTTCGTCAACTCCCGAAGAGAGCTTTCAAAAAACTCTTCAAGGACATGTTATTTTCGTTCCTTGAGGCTGAGTATTACTATGTTGAATCACCCCTTCTATTTAAAAAAAATTACTTATTATAAACTGGCTTTATAATTTATATTCTACAAATTTAAGTGTTACTATTTTCTTATGTTTAATGATGCAGTTGTATATACGACTTTTAAGTGGCTGTCTTTTTCTGGAAATGTTATTAATTTATGTTTAAGCTTTATGTGTACTCTATCACCACTGCTGTACCTCTAATTCTCACCCGCCTCGACTAGCTCCTGCTATTTGTGGGCGTGAACGGTCTTCATGAACATGAAAGTGTAAATTAGATCAATAATAATTAGATTAATTTGTAATTTCTTGTTAAGCTTTCTCCTTATTAAGCTTCAATAAACTTCAAACTTCATTGTCTTACGATAGTCATTCTCTCTATTTCAGGAAAAATTTGAAACCAGCAAAAGAGCAAGACAGAAACTTCTCAAAAACATTCCAGGCAAGTCAGAAATGGACAGTGTATTTGCTTTTGTAATTTTTCCCTGTTACACAAATGTATATGTTAGAACATTTTAAGATCATGGCTTCTTCAGTTTTATCGGTTGTCTGACGTAATTATTTCAATTGATAGTTTCCAACCAGATGTTTTGTCAAGCTATAGACCCAGCATGCTTAACTGGTTGTGACATAAAGGCAATAAAACGTATTGTTTGTGGGCTCTACGTGTTAAAGCCACTTGAGATGTTAGGAGAACACTTGGAAAGCTTAATTCTCAATCACTAACCTGCCTTTGGCTTTTAATTGATATGCTTTCTTTGTGTTCTCCCAACATCCTGCATGGCTTTGTCATGTTGTGGAGCCTGGAAAATGTGTTGTATTACTTAAATAGAGGGGGAAAGTTTGTAAAGAAACTGTGGTGCTTTATTGGTGGGGGAGTTATGACAAGATTATTTTAATTTCCAGCCATCAGAATTTTCCATTCTTTTCAGTATTCATTTATGGGAATGGTCCTTCTATGAAATTTTAACTTTATGAAGTTATCAGAATTAATGGTATTCATACTAGGTTGTATGGGATTACTTCACAAAATTTCCTTAAAAACATATTTTATAAATAATTTATATTATAGAAGTTCTCCAGAATCTGGTGGGAAAGAAAAACAGTAAACTTGGAACACTGAAGGTAACCTCAATTTTTTGAAACTGGCCAGTTACTAGCAATAAGTGTGTGGATGATATGTGCTGTAATCGACAGTTGTAGCTTGGCTGTTACTGTACTACTTGATTAAACATTCTTTATGTGCAAGAATATTAAATGAGCTGAAATCTTCTTGAATACACTTTTCCAGCTTTTACATAAGACACATCAATAATTATTTTGTTTTAGGTGTTTGAAGCATTTCAGGATATCAAGGTTACTAAACATCTGTTTTATGTAAGTTCCATATTGAAAAATCCTTATTAATTAACCCTGACTCAATTTACATAATTGATAAACAGAAGTGTTACCCATTTGATTTTGGGTGATGCATGAAAAAAAATGCTAGGCTGAGATAAAGTGTGTGTAGGTGGGCAGAATTCACTTTTCTGTCAGGCTGTTGATGTGATCTTTCATCGTGTTCTGTTTTTGTTACAGCTAATTTTCCACAAGACTACATTTTGCTTTGCGTGGCAATCCTGTCAGCTAGTGAAGAAACTAGTTGGTTAATTTAATCCATTTTTTTTTTTCTGACAGGTTGTGTTTGAGCTCATGTTATTTACCATTTGCCCAGAAGTGGTGTCTGAGGAAGTTAGGCACAGAGCAATGGTTTTGAAAAACACGCAGCCAATTTCACCTGACACCAATCAATAAGGAAACAGTTACTGTGGGAAAAAATTTCAAGTGATGATTGGATTAGTGGGAAATTACTACCCTACTTGTGATGTATATTGGGCCCACATTGCAATGCTTCAATAAGTTAACCAAGTCCATATTGATCATTATGCAGAAGCCTTTAGACTGCTCAAGGGTACACTTTTTAAGATGTATCTCCAAAATGTTGCTGCAAAATCATTGTTCATTCAAGGTTGGATAAAAACCAGAATTTTAGACACTTGTGGCCAAAAAAATTAACAAATACTTGGTTTGAAAAAAACCTGGCAGCCATTTCCACTATTTTTTTCATCATTAGAAGTACCTTAGAACAGCAGAATAATTATGTTTTCACTTTTTCTCTGCCAGATGAAAATTTCACTGCCTTTATATTTAAAGGTATATTTATTTTTATTTTATGATTAATAAAAAGCTGTAATAATATTTGGTGCTTTGAAATAGTCTGTGTAGCTCAATTAACTGAACAAAGAACACCAACAGATTAGTACAGAAATACCATTAGGAACAATGAATCTTTATTTAAGGTGAATGTTCAACTTTTCACCTAACTGTTGAGACTTATTTATTCATAAATCCATTTTGCCATTTCTGGCTCCCACTCAACAAGTTCTTCATCTTTAAACCACAGCTTTATTTCCCTGTTTGCTGTATCCACTGAGTCACTGCCATGGCAGATGTTCCTAAAGACAAAAAGAAAGGAATCATTTTTGTGTTCCACACAAAGAATAACAGTCAACGCATATTGCCAGAGAACACAAAATATATTTTTTATTTGACAGTGCAGAGCTGTAACCAGAAGAGAATGGAAAAGAAAACAGTTAAAATAACAGTAAAAAACAGCCATGAAGAGAGACCAACCTGCCAATGTGAATGGAAAAATCCCCTCTCACTGTGCCTGGCTTAGATTTTGCCTGCAAGTCAACGAAATAAAAACATTACAATACACTTTCCCTTAAAAAAGTATAGTTTGTAATTATCAGTTTGTCATTCTTTGTGACAATAGAATACTCACTGGATCTGTTTCTCCAAGAATGGCTCTACATGTTGCAACAGCACCTAGTCCTTCCCAGACCTGAACAAAATCATTGAAAAGCTCAGTTATAAGTAAACAAAAGAAACATTTTCCTCATAGCACAACCTTCTGAAAACAATAACTGAAGACTGTTTAGTAATACACCAATGAAAAAGAAGGAATTGCACTATGGTATAACCTTTCAGGTTGCAGGTAGACAAGACACACTTTCTACTCTAATCTTTCTTTTGTCACAATCTTTTCCTCTACTTGTATCCAGCTTTACTACTAATTTTTAATTCCTCGAATATTTGTCTTTCTTGTAATTCTTTGGTCTATCAATTTGACTCCTCCCCCTTCCCTTCTGTCATTCCCTTTTCGCCAAAGGACTGTGTGTGCGAACCCGCACCAAACGAATTCTATCACAAGTATACAGGGTGAAACAGGAAATTTGTACAAAGCTCATCATATCTACAAAAAAAATCACGCCATTTTTGCTGATAAACGAGAGGTCAAGGTACACAGATCGTAGTAAGTCCAACGCTGATGCTGACTTTGGGGGAAAATAATCTCAAAGCTTTTAATAGAAGACGGGCGATCACCAGAAAAAGAACTACTGATTGAAAATGGGTCGTAACTTAAACTACTGTCAACTTCAAATAGAAAATATTTGGCAGTGTTACTAGACATTGATCACAACGAATGGTATTACCATTGCCACGACAGGGCCTGATCCCATATATTTCACAAGGCCATTAAAGAATGGTTTCTGTGCCAGCTCTTCGTAATGTTTTTTAAGGAGTTCTTCACTTGCCTAAAAAAATGAAAAATAACTTTCCGTGACTCATCGCTAAAAGAAATACTCTCACAGACATTACGCGAGAACTACACAAAAGCACCCTACCTTCACGAATTTCATGGCGACTAATTTGAACCCTTTCTGTTCAAATCTTTTTATGATATCTGCTATCAGTCCTCTGTGAACAGCATCTGGTTTGAGCATAAGGAAGGTTCGCTCGCCCTTCGACATATTTAGAGGGTATTTTTTGAAACAGTTCCGGGAGCTCGAGAGGCAAGGAAGAGCCGCTTGTTGAGAATAGTACTTAGTGCGCCACGTGGCCTGGGACTTTAGAACGAACTCGAGAGGCGATGAGCAGGGGTGGGGACTAAGGACAAATGCGGTCACATCCTGTTAGCCTTACCCCCCCTTTAGACAATAGTTACGATAATGATGAACTTAATGTTCACTGATCAAGTTTTCGAATCAAATAATATTTTACACAAAATACAAGTCTGTATTATTAAAGTGCCAATAATGTAGGTTTCCAACATTGATCATCAAGTGCTACTAAGAGAGTTTTTTGTTTGAAAAATCATATCCATACAAAGGTTGTCTGCATGATTTCTAACTTTTCATCCGGACTTTAATAACTGTTACTACAGTTAAGCTACTGTTTAACACTCATGTTGAATATGTAAGTGGTAAGGCCATTGCAAAAAAGAATTAGCCTTTTATTTTGTATACAGTTATGCTATGGCACCGATAGCTTCATAGGCTTAACTCTAGCCACCTTTACCTGACTATATTGATGTCCTGTGGGATAAAATCTAAGGAGGGTTTTGCGAGGGGCTCCAGCATCTAAAAAAACCATGTAGTTCAAGTAGGGAGCATTGTTAGGGTTGGCAGTGCCCTGCAGTGCTTATGAACTCCCTTTCTGAGATAATTTTGTTTTGAAGCCAACAACACATGAACTACAATTTCCAGGTTAGTGAAAATGTGTCAGTCTGCCTGCAAGATACTCAATTTTCTGATCCTTCTTGCCTCTTGACTATGAACCCTGTGATACATTAAATCCCATTTAGTGTGACAATTACAAACATTTTAATTTTTTGATCATTTTCATTTCTTATTAATTTGGGGTACATCTAACATATACACTTTTCATCGATATTTATAGAATTCCTTCTTAGAAGTCTCTTTGGTTTTTATTATGATTTCTTTCTTCCTCAACTGGACTTGCATTTGGAGATCGTGATTATGTATCTCAAATGTATTGAAACCTAGACCCCAGACAAAGAAACAGCACTTTGAAGGTTGAGCTGTAATGTTTGTGGAACTGATAAATAAGTCTCCAGATCAGTCCACATTCTTCTGAGTTATAGAATTAAAAAATGAAAGAATTATATGCTGGCTTTTGGTATTATGGGTTACCAGATGAATTAGAAAACACAGAAGATCTGTTGATAAGCATCACGCATGATTTATATTCATTTGCCAAATTGTGTTTACGACTGGTGTAGTCAAAATGTGTGGTTCCAGAAAATATCCATAGCCCCCCACGGAAGACTTTTGATTTGCACCCCCCCACCCCCCCAGGATTTTCCGTTCCAGGCGGTCTTTGATGACCTCCCCTCACCCCAGGAATTTCCAGAATTTTAATCGGGGACTAAATTCTTACCACCGTCGGAAATTCAAAGTGGTTTTTGTACTTATAAAAAGAGAACGTGAATACTAAGTTGGTTACGTAAATGCGGTAGAATTTTATTACAACACTGAAAACATTAAGGTTAGCTTTAATAAAAATATAACGCTTTGTTAAGCTTATACTTTTAGCATCTTTGCCATCATTTTGGCAAATCAGATCCGTGTTGTTTTTATGTAAAATAATTTATAAGCTTAAACATCTGGGTTGCAAAATTTAAACTGATTTAAAACGTCGACTGTTCCGCGTACGTTTTCGTGCTAACTCCGATGAGAACGTTTCACTCGCTTAAACAACTTTGCAAACGATAGTAAATAAAACAGAAACTTACAAGGTTCCTTTGTCTACACATTTTGTCACTTTCTTCAGGTTGATTCTTATTTAAAGACCTAAAACTTCACTGGCACACACATGGTAACAAGGTTTTGTGTACATCGCCACGATTTGCTAAAATAACTAGGTAGCCGGGCGTTCTGAAGGAGGGGCAAGAAATGGGAACGTCCATGTTGAGATGGCCATTTCAAATCGTTTTGACTCCGTTCCGAGCTTTGGGAGGTTGTAGCGCTAGCTAACTCAAAGGAAAAACAGAAATAGTAAAGCTTATAATGTTAAATTTATCTCAATCTACATCTACATTTATTAGTCTTGCAAAGGGGGGCCATCACGCAAGACAATGGCCAAGAGTACTGACTTTTGTTTCAAAACAACGTACGTATGTTTTTGTGCTTCAGATCGATCGTATATGCTGCTTTAATTAAATGTTTTGTACGTGGTTCTTTACACTTTGAAAAAGTAGTATCCCACGAATCCCCCCTACCCCTCGGAAATTACTGCCCTTGAACCCCCTCCCCCTCAGAATTTCCAATGACCTTCTGTGGGTGGGTATTGTTATTTTCTGGAACCACACAATATCAAAAGGAGCTGTTAAATGGATTTTTAGTTGTGGTCTGAATAAATTATTATGACAAAACCCATGAAGCCAAAAACAATTTTTAAACACAAACCGAAACAGTTTCTACGATTTTAACCTCCGGTTAGTATTTTTAGTGTTTGGTCTCAAATTTAAACCTTAGTTTGTAGTCTTAGTCCTTAGTGTCATCTTTTATTTTAATATTGAAAACCACCTTTGGCTGATTGGAGGCCTCCTGTTAAAATATTATTTATTTATTATTGTTATTAGAAAAGCAGCAGAAGTTTTGCGGGTGAGTTATTCATTGTTCGAGTAATTGACTGATTGCCTAGCTTCCTGCACAAGGCAAGCCTGTATGCATATCTGGTTTGTCAATTTTCTTTATCTTAGAAGCAGCACAAAGAGGTAGCTTATGATATATACAGAAGAACAACAATTACCCAAGAGTGGAATGGTTTTCAAGGTAAAGGAAACAACAACAAGCAATAGTCTGATTGCTACACATGAGTACATACCACTGACTTCAGTTTTTGTTACCGGTAGGTTCACAACACAATGGGTTATAATTTGAATATATCAACAAAGTTGAAATAGTAAATTGGCCACCATTACGATTGTAAAAGCTGACCTTTCGAGCGTTAGCCCTTCGTCGGAGCGAATAGGGGAATTGTGGGTTATAACTAAAATAGGTTATAGGTTTGAAAAAATTCAATTTATTACTACCAGTTATTACAGATCAGTCCTTATTCATAAATATTTCCAGATGATGTCAGATTCCACTCCACAATGTCATTCTTGAACCAAAGATTAATTTCCTTTTTAGCACTCTCCACTGAATCACTTCCATGAATGATATTTCTGCAGAATCAAAGGATAAATAAAGTTGTAGAACTAATAATAAAAGACAAAGACTGAAAAATTACTTCAGTATCAATGCTAATCCAAAATGTGAATACAAATTTTTGCCACTTTTTAACAAGAAAATAATGTACCGAAAAAAAAAAAAAAAAATTATGAACTACGAGTTAAGGAAGGCTAAGCAGCTTACCTTCCAATCTGGATACAAAAGTCTCCACGGATTGTTCCTGGCAAAGAATTTGCCTGAAGAATACAAAGAGGTTTAGTTTTTGAGTGACTTTTTCTCTTACTGCTATGAAATTCACATGCACTACAGAAAAATTTTCATTATTCAGTTTTAAAAACATTTGCTACAATGTTTATGTTCATAGCTTCTTGTATAGTTAACTTTTTTCATTTCTAAGCTTGTAAGTAACCATTCATTTGTACTAACTGGAAAACCTGAAATTCAAGCTTAAAAATTATGATACATTAAACAGCTTTCATTTACTCACTGGGTCTGTTTCTCCAAGCATAGGCCGTCCTGTCTTCACAACATTGAGACCTTCCCAAACCTGCAGGTTAAAGAGAACCTCAGAATCTAGACATTGCCAAAGGTTCAAGAAAATTACACTCAGGTAAATTGGTTATTGTTGGGGCTGCAATGAGAAAACTGCTAGCCTGAGGTATCTTCTGTTCAATTCTGAAGATCTTACAGCCATTTCCTCTAACTGATAACTATATATTCCTTTGTCTAGTGGTCCTACAAATTTAAAGTTCATTCAAACAATATTCAACACTAATTATAAATTATCACAACTTGTCTGGTCGACAGTACATTAAAATTGTAAAAAAAATTAATTACAACTTACTACAGAGGGTGAAATAGGTAACATTTAATACAAGTCTAGAATAATTTAACCTTCAGCTTTAAGCATTAAGGCTAATCACCACATTAATATTTATCACTTACCATGGCCACCACTGGTCCATTGGACATATGTTTTACCAGGCCTGGAAAAAATGGCAGATGGCTGAGGTCTGCATAATGTTCCTTCAGAAGGGATTCATTCGCCTTAAGTAAATGGAGAAAGCATATTTTACATAAAAGGTGAAGTCAGTTCACAATCAAACAACAATGGTTTATTATATGAATTTCCAGAGCGTGAAAATTTTGAAGTTATCATTATCTAACGCAATGCCTAGAATATTCTACTCCATTAGAGGTAACCCCAGTACTAATTAATGGTATGAGAAAAATTTCTTGAAATTGACTCTGCTTTGGGCTTCAATCCTGTACCAGTTGACTTCACAGGGTTAATGAAAAATTAAAACTGTTGTGTGTTTTTCTAAAGAACCAGCTCAAATGTATCCCAGCAGAGTCAAAACCCTATTTAAATATGCCTTTAGTACAGGCAACGATCTTTTACTTTAGGGAGCTGCGAGCTTCTCAGGTTTTCCAAAGAAAAAGAAGTCTTTTGGTTTCAATGATGAAATAATGGCCAAAAATACACTACTTGTTCTTCAAGTGAGAGTGCAGATTTCAAAATTTGTCATGGATAATAAATAACTAGGTAATCAATTCAGGAACTCAATCAACTGCCAGGTAAGAATTCTCACACAAACTAGAACATAATCCAAAAGTTCCAAGAGCTCACTATTTCAAATATAAACAGTAAACTGTTTCTCACCCGCATAAATTTCATGGCTACTAATTTGAATCCTTTCTGTTCAAAGCGTTTAATGATTTCTCCTATCAAACCACGCTGGACTCCATCAGGTTTAACCATGATAAAGGTTCTTTCTGATTTACCTTGGCCTTCAACCTTACACACAAAAGATTGCAGTCAAATATCATAAAGTTTCTGAAGAAGAGTTGGTATATCCATCAGGGCAAAACACACTGCCTCTTGGAGCCTCTTTGACTAGCTATTGCATTCTTCATAAAGATGTTTGAAAAATAACTACCCAGTTGATAACTTGCCAGCTAAGTGTACAAGTTTAAGTATCGAGTACAATGAGGTATGAAAGAAAAGTTGCTACAGGTCAGATCACATACACCTAGGATCAGGAGCGCCACAAGTTTATTAGCCTTTTGGTTAATAAGTGCCACCCTCTAAATAAAGATTTTTTTCTTTCTTTGTTACTTGCTTACCCCTTAACTTGTGGTCAAGAGGTGGACATTTCCTTACACATAAAAATGGTTAAGTGTTGTGAGAGGTCAGTGTGAACAGTTGACTACTCTGATAACTGATTAATCACAATATACCATATTCAAGCTCTTGTCATGATAAAAGCGAGGTTCGACTGGGTGAAGACATTCTTGTACACTAAATGTACGTACAAAATACCATCAACATTATTAAAGAACTTTTCGGTTTGATTCGTGAATATTTCACCGCCATATTTCGTTGAACAATATGGTGATACGATCACTTCCTCTCGTCGTCTTGTTTTAACAAATTACTCTACTATTTATAATATCTCAGAGGCCAAAAAGAGGGGTTGCAGGAGATATACTGTCGTTTTGGGTACCGAAAATAGTCCGCAGGTATAAAAATTTTCGAGTCATCCCTGTTCGCAGGGAATAAAGGGCACCAAGTTCCCTTCACATAGAATTAGACTTCCAGAATAAATTCTGTAATAATTCACAATTCCCACCTTTGTTGCTGCGTAAACATTTCCAAAGAGCGTAAACTTTTTCCTGTACAATTGATTCGCAGCAAATAGTCCCGCAGTAGCAGCCGAAGCACCGATCAGAACAGGTCCAGCGAATTTAAAATAGGACCCGCTTTCCTTAGAATGAGAGGTGAAAGTTCTCCTAACTGCAGCTGCTCTAAAGGCGCTGAGAGAAGAACGTAACAAAACGCTGGTTCGACTGCGAAACGCCATGTTATCCGTACACCACGAGGAAAAAGATCTTCTTAGCAGCGACCGGGAAGGACTGAGTCAGTTCATTCGTTTCCATCGGGAGTGGGGTTGAGTAGTTAAACTACAATATTTTTAATATTACTTCACTTTTCAGATTCCACCTTTTTCTACTTGATTTGCTGCTTGCGAAGCCGCAACATAACCTCTGAGTGTCATACATTTGATCCTGTGGAGTTCTTACCTTGCATCGTTCGCTGTCCTCGCAAAATTGCCGCGATGTATAGGGAGAGTCCATAGTAGTCACTGTTTCGTCGTTAGCATCTCGAGGTTCCTTTTCAGAATGTGAACTATCACCTTTTTCCAATACTGCTGTAAAGATTGCGATATTTACTAGTATCGAGAACCACATCCTGTCTGTTTCTGATCTGTATTTAATGAAAACAAATGAACAGTTGAAAGAAAAAAACAAGGGAGTCTGGGAACGAAGCTAAGAAACAGGTACGTTGTCAAAGTGTTTTGAGCCAGTCTCTGAGTTTTGGGTATCCCCGTTCCCAAAACACTAGTGTTCTGGAGATACCCAGAACCCTAAAAGTGAATTTAATAAGAGACTGGGGCAAGTAACATGACATCCTCTTTTATTTGTCGTGGAAAAGAATAATTGCTTGCACACATCAGATTCTCACACTTGAGATTGTGGCTGGTAAAGAAAGGTGTTCGTGTGTCTTCAAGCATCTTGGAATAAGCGATCAGATAGCAGTTTCAAGTTAATTGCTTCGGATGTAATGGGCAGAGCAATTTACTTGAGATTGCTGACTGATCGCTCATTCCAAGATGCTTCACAACAATGAAACACTTTACAAGTTGTGTGCAAGTTGTTCGCGTACGAGTTGTACGCAAGCTCGCACGTAAATCACTGGTGCCGAAAAGTTTGAGTACATAAATTCCCAGTTACGGTGAAAACTCTGTCTCTTGGATTCCCTCGGGAAACAAATAGTGATATTTAGAAATATATTTACAGATCTCTCATTTGCGAACCTTTCTCATCGCACATCAAAACTTGGTAATAGTACCTCTCCAGTTGCCACGTCCTTCATCGTTTCGAGACATTTTTGACCTTCTCCTGAAGTGCTCCCTGGTGAGAGTAGGAAAGCATCGAGTAGTGACGAGGAAATTGGTTCAGGACAGACACGGTCATAACATTCTTTTGTAAACGTTCCAACGGTAACGAACTCATCGATTGACTACCAATGTATAAATGTTAGTAAATTGATTTTCTCGTAATATCGTGTCTGCAACACGTACTGAATGGGAGATTAACAAGTCGCGACAGTGACATGTAAAGGTAAGTTCTTTCTTGTCTTTCTTCATATTTTCAAGAAAACTTCTGTTTTATCGAGGAAATTAAAACCCTTTTACTGAACGAGATAAAGTGAGGTTTTAACCATGCCTCATCCGACAAAAGAGGGAAAAAAGGTAAATCCAAGGTCTGTTCAGGATCAGGGGAATCTATTGCCCCTTGCCAGTTAAGCCCCGACAAACAATTAATTATCGACCATTATTCGTTTCGAAATCTGTGCCAAAAACTACATTGGAGGTCAAAACACCTTGGGAAAGTTATTTGGAAACATGTCCTACAGCCAAACATTTTGCAAAATACCATTTTTTCCAATTCAGTAAGGGTGTGCAACACCACCCCTCCACCCCTAACAATGTTGGTTAAGTAAATTCAACATTGTTTTGGGGGGGGGGTGGGTAAGAGGGAGGATGAGTTCAATATTACCGTTAAGTGTCCCAAGACTTTCAACCTCCGTTGGAAATTTGATTGACTGAAGTGTCAGAAATACAGATCGGGCGAATATATTCGAATATCCACTGTTGGTGTACAGTCTGTTTATCAATTGTCTATTAACCCAGCCTGATCTCTCTGCTGGCATTCACAGTAAATTTACATTATTTGCCTTGGCTTAATTTCCTCTTCTTGAATGTTGCTGAACCTTCTAGCTGTCTTAAATTAACTAAAATGATATTTTTAAGCTCAAGTCCCACGAGAAGGTCAAATTAGGCCACAGGGTTCTACAATGGTGTGAAAGGAAAACGTATAATTTTCTGAAATTTAAAGAATTAAAGCCAAACTTTACGATTGAGCAAAAATTCATTTTTTCACCAGGTTTTCTCTTGTATCACATGGCACATTCCGATGCTAGTATGATTACAGAAATCAAATCTTAAGCATTTCAGCCAGAATTTTCCGTTAGGCTCAGTGTCAAAACAAACATTGCCTGTACACACATCCGCTCGATCCGTTGATCCATGTCGTCAGAACAATTGCAACTTACTCGGCTTATGCTTAGCAACAAAAGGAATTTCTAATCAGTTTTCTTTCATCACAATTATTATTTAACCCGACTTAAATTCAAGGCAAGGTGCATTTTACAAACAAACGCCTAGGACATTTGAGCCAAGCTTAAGAGGTAACTTCGTGATGTAAAACAGTTATATCCGCCTAAGGGATCTTATTTAGTTACTACGCTACACAAGCAAATTATTTAATCTTTATCTTATCACTACGATCAGCATTACATTATTTGCCTGCCTATAGACATGACGTGCAAGTTAAGCTATTCCAGAAATGACTTAATATTAAAATAATTCCGGAAAAATAAATCTATATCAGACTTGCCATATCGCCGCTTTCGTTTGCGGAAGCGGTTCTTTCTAAATATGTAATATTGGTCCAATAAGGCAAGTGTCCAGAACACAGCTTATACTGGTAAAGATACTGTACAGACAAATCTGCACTCACGATCTTCCACTATTCTGACTTTCACGAAATAGATGATCACTGTTTTTCATAAAATCGGTCATAGCTTTCATTGTCCACGCCCTTACCGTTCATCGAAATGACGTCAAAATGTCAGTGCAACCGAAAATACAGAAAAACCACAAGGAGCAAACCGTTTTCAGTCTCTCTTTCGACTGCTTCCTGAAAGTCGGCGCAGATTTCTATAACTTCTCACTCCAAGAACACCACACAAACATTAATTTGATTATTCACAGGTTCGTGTAAAATGATTTTCATTCTTTACATACAATTATACCCTGTATGCCGCAGACATACCATACATTCGCACAAATTTGAGAGCACTGCATCAGTTTTCAACCGTAGTGGTCAGGCTTTTTTTTTTCGGTATTGAGTTGTATGTTTATAACTGGCATTAATCAATTAATTTTCGGTCGTGAACGGATCCCAACGAGAAATTGTTGTGTGAATTACCATTTGTTGTCATGAATATGAAGGCGATGAAATGAATAGAATGACGGGTTACATAGTTTATTTTAAAACGGTTTCCACTATTCCATTACAATCTTTAGTTTGGATACAATGAATATGTGAGGTTCATATATTTTGAACTGCGGTATTAGATACGTATGATGGACGATCCTCGCAATAGAGAGCGCTATTTATGCAATAGCGAAAATCAGACCTGAAAAAAAAAAAAAAAAAAAAAAAAAAAAAAAAAAAATCAGGCCTGTACGGGA